ATCTAGCTTGGTCGTGTCTCTCTCTTGCCAGTGTATGCTGGCCATTCACGCGGACTGCTCACCAGGAAGTGGCTGATGATCACACACTCCTGGGGCAGAGATGGGGTTCCCTCAGCTGATTCGTGACCCCGGATCCTGAGGGCCCATCCCATACTCCCTTTCGTGAAGGTGCCAAGTTCAGAGGTGTCTATAAGACACCTGGGGCCCCTCCTACCTGCATGCAGAGGCCTCCTTCTCCAAGACCAGAGAGTAGACAGGTCCCTCCAGGTATACACCAAGAAGATGGGCTCACTAAAGGGGACCCCCAGAGCATCAAGGAGTGGCTTCCTGTTTGGAAAAGCTCCATATGATCATTTTACCAGAGTCCAGCCAAGGCAAACCCAGTCTCCAGGACACAGAGCCTGGCAGCAGATCTGTCCCCTCTGCAAACATCTGGTGCACACTACATGCCGAGGTCAGGATGCTGAACCGTCTTTGGCTCAGAAGGGCCCTTGCCATTACCTCCCTGGCTTCTTACCTCCCTGCTGGCTTCCTCAGGGTTTAGGCCCTCTGCTCCCTCGCCTGCCTGGTAAAAGCCAAACCCACACGGGGAGCAGTCGTTCCCCCCAGGGAACTGAGCCTATCTGTTGAGGCTATCTGTCAACCCTATCTGTGTTTTATTTTTGAAAAGGAAAAAAAGGAGGGATAAACTCTGACGTCATGGGCTTGCGTAGGACAGCGGGGTTGGAGGCCATCTGGAGCAGGTGCTGGCAGAGCTGCTGGGAAAGAAGAAGGAAGGCAGCTGGCTCATCAGGTGGGGGTGTCCTGGGGTCAGACAAAGACCTCATGGCACCATTAGGTTAAGCTTTCCTGGAATTTCTGGCCCAGGATGGAGGAGATGACGCTTCCTTGGCCTCCAGCTCCTGGAGGAGGCACCAAGCTCAAGAAGACCCGGCCAAGCTTTGGTCTCTGTGTCCTTCATGGGTCTCCACCACCGAATGGTCCTGGGGACTGTTGAGGGCTCGGAAGTACGAGTGTTCTCATGCAGAGACATTCAGATTCCTCATCTGCCCCCAGCTGCTTTTCCTGCCTTTGTCTCAGGGTTGGGAGCCTCTTGTCGGGCCTCCTGATTCACTCTGCCCCCATCCAGGAGGCACGTACAGCTTTTTCGCAATTACAGGTGGTGAAACTGAAGGCCCAGAGCAGTGATGGGACTTGGCCAGGGTCCCGCTGACATTTTCCTGCCCGGACTCCATAAGATCTGCTCACCGCCTGTTCAGTGTCCTCTCTGGGAAGTTATGCAGCTGGAAGGGGGCCCCTGGGATGAAATAATTGCAGAGAAAACAGATGGGCTGCTGAGGATCCCTCCCTTCCTCCCTGTGCCTGAGAATCCTCCTGCTTTGCCCCAGTGCCAGGAGGGGGCGCTGTTCCCCAGGGAGCAAGTTCCCACCTCCTGGGGAGGGGAGCTGCACAATCCTGCCTTCACCACCCCGTTTCCAGCCTCAGAAAAGCCCTTCTGCACACCTTTCTCACCAAGGCCCCCTTCATGTTCCATAGGGTCTTGCTAGCCGAGTGGATATCAACTGTCCCAAGGAAGGGCCTGGCCTGTAGCAGGTGCCAGGGTCTCCCCTTGCCTTCATGGACAAGAAAAAAAGGAAAAGGAGCCCACAAGAATGGAGTCTTTTCTCTCCATGTCCCCATATTCCAGAGGTCCAGGAGCAAGAAGAGGGTCCCAGTCGTGTGACTCTCAGATGCCTGGGGTTCGGCACACTTCAGCCTGGTTCTGACTTTCCCCAAGTCCTGTTCCCTCTCTGTGGCTCCTCCTCTCAACTGACCACCCTCGCTGGGCTTCATCTTTCATGCCCACCCCCTACCATCCCACCACCCTGCAACCAAGTTTGCTGTTCCTCCCCACCCTCCGGAGCACAGTAGGCTCCCACCCTTGCAGACGAGCCCCTCCCCCTCTTTATCACCAATGCCTCCAGAACCTGCCTCTGCTGACCAGCCTTTCTCCCAAGCCTGCCTCCTCTGGATCTGAAACCCCCACTCTCCCCAGTCTGAGCATGCAGGGCTCTGCAACATCCAGGGGCTGCCCTCCCACTTCCCTTGGTTCAAGGATTTGCCCTTTGGCGAGGCCACTTCTTATTTTTCCTTTACTGCAACCCTCTAACCATGGATCCCTTCCTCGCTCAGCTCAACTCGGTACAGACTTTCCCTCTCCAGGAAGCCCGCCCAGCTAGCCCAAGCTGGGAGAGCTGCCGTCCCTCCCCACCATTGGCCTTTCCAGCCTACAAAGCTAGCGTCTGTTTCCTGGGGTCCTTCTTCATGGGACTCCGCAGGCTGCCAGGGTGCTCAGTGGATACTGGGGGAATCAGTGGCTGGATAAGTGACACAGGACAGGATCCCCGACAGAACTGCCAGACTCCTGAGGCCCAGTGGCCTTTTCTCTTCCTCTTGCCATCAGGAGGAGTTTTCACATTGAGCATTCAATAAAGTGCTCCCAACAGCTCCAGTTCAGCTGCTCAGTGGGTCCAACTGTCCCAGGCCCGGTCCCTGAGACCAGAGCAGAAAAAGCAGACCTCTTGAGGGAAAAGCAGGACAGAGGAACCTGAGTCCCCATTCTAGACCCAAGAGGGAGAGAGCTTCCTCTCCATCTCACTACAGGAGGAACCCAAGGCAGTGACGTGCTGACTACCTCCTTTCCTGAGGGTTCCTCCAGCCTAGTCCTGGAACTTCTATCCACCCCACCTTCCAGGCCGCAGCTAAGCAGGAGCTGCCCCAGGGAGGCCTCGCTCCACAGGTGACTATTCTGGGACCTGGTCTGCCCCAGATGACCACAGCCCAGTGATCACCAGTGGGGGCTCACCAGAAGATTCCACTTCCAAAGAGGGGAAATAGAGTCCAAGGCTTTGTCCACATTGGGGTGGGGTTAGGTGGGGTTGGTTTATTTAATTTAGCCTCAAAGCTCAAAGAGAGAGGGGAGACTTAGATAGTTAGCCAGCTGTCACCAAGTACCTCCAAGGGACACAAAAGACAGGAAGAACCAGCCTACAGACATTCAGACAGAAGGAGGTAAACTTTGTGCACCAGAAGCTTCCAACCTGTCCTTAATAAGGAGTTTCGGAGGATGTAGCTGCTGTCTCCTGGAAAAGAGCCCAATGCCTGGCTCTAGAGTCAATCTGCTCAGCTCCTTAAACAGGTGGAAATAAAGCAAATCTCAGAGAAGCTCCAGAGTGGTAACATTCTCCTTTGATCAGTAGGCAAAGAGGAGAGAGGACCTCCATCACTCACCCAGAAATCCCTCCCTCTTCCCCATTCTTGCTTCTCTTTCTTACTCCTCAAATGCAAGAGTAGTGCCACTCTATGGGTGTTACCACGGAGCAGCAACCGGGGAGGCTGCATGGAAATGTTGCGTCCACTCACCAGAACTCCCAGAGGATGCCCTGTCAATGTCCGAATCCTCCTCTAGACTCGGAAATTCTGCTACGCCAAACTCAGGCCTCGGGTGTAGATTATTCCCTACACAACAGGACTTTGAGCTCAGTGGGTCTGCAATTTCTGAGTCAGAGTGCCAGGTGGGAAGAAGAGACCCTGAAGGGCCATGGAACCATTGCCTCCGCGTCCAGGCCCAGGCCCAGCTGTGGGAGCTATCCATGGGGCACCTGATTCCCCCTGCCCTTCCTGACCGCCACTGCCCTCTCCCTGGGGAAAAAAAAAAAGTGCAACAAACTCCCGCAGGCACCTGTACCTGGCTTCGGTCTTGGCGCCTAGGGACCACCGCCCTGGCCCCGGGGAGTGCTCTCCAGCAGAGTCCTGCCGGGTGGCAATAGGATCATACATTTCTGCACCTCACTCAGTTCTTGAGGTCCCAGGCTCTCTGCCTCCTCTGCCCATCCGGAAGGGACTCCTTGGAGCCCAAGGCATTAAGACACCCTGTCCCAGGAGAGGGAGTAGTGAGCAGCGGGTCTAGGTGACTTTGTCCTGACTATCTAAGGCTGAAAAAAAGGAAGGCAACCACCTGTCACGGTCCCCAGAAGCCATACTGGGCTCGAGGCTGGTAAAGCTCTCTCTGCAGCCGGTGCAGGTGCGCGGGTCGGCGCGGCGAACGGCCTCACGCTGCCGGTCCTGCTCGGAGCGGGGACAGACTGGCTCAGGTGCACACCGGTGAGCGCACACGAAAGCTACCGGGGTCAGACCTCGAGGGTTCGGTGCAGCGGACCCGGCTGAGCGCGAACTTAGAGCCACAGTGACGGGTACGGGATGCTCCTGCACACACGCGTGGGCACCGGTATCTGCGGCCTGCCGTCGTAGCCCATCCGGTTCGCGTTTCACTCTCAAAAACACCCGCAGGCGAAAAGCTTGCAGTCTCCGGTGTAGGACTTGCGCTCCCCCCTGCGGCCCCGGGGCAAACCTCAAACCTCGCTCTCCCTGCGCCTCCGGCCCAGCTTCCGCCCCATCCTCTGCCTCCCTAACTTAAAGACGTTGGTGCGGTCTGAACTCCCGAGTAGGTGAAAGGTACTGGAGCCGCAGTACCAGGCCTGCTCCTGCCTGGTGCCCAGGGAAGAGTTTGGCAACAAGGCAGATCTGCGTGGATTTCGGGCTGTGCCAACTTTCTGGCTGTGTGGCTTTGGGCAAATAACTTAATTCCTCTGAGCCTGTCTTTGCACCTGCAAAGAGGGAAACTGATCCCTCCTAGGGAGAGCGCGTGTGTTGAGGTCCAAGCGTGTGTGGGGCACCGGGAGCACCAACGCTTGGCATGCCTGGCACGCGCTCGCTGCAAATGGAGTTCCCTGTGCGCGCTGCTGTGCAGCCGCGAGTGCGGCGGGAGAGAGCTGGCGGAGCGGCATCCCTGGGGGTGGGATGTAGGTGGGGGCAGTGGGGGAGCCTCCGCGGCCCCCTCCGGGCCCTCGGCGTGCGTGCCATTGGCCCGGGCAGCCGGGTGGGCGGGAGGATGACATCAGCGGCAGGTTGGATTATAAAGGCGCGAGCGGAGCCGCGGGTTCAGAGCGCACCCAGCCGGCGCCGCGCAGCACTGGGACTCGCGCCCACACCGCAGCCCAGCCTGCCTGCTCCGCGCTCGCCTGCCCGTCTGCCCGCCGGCCCGGCCCGTGCGCCCTCGCTGCCGCTGGTCTGCGCCCCTCGACCCCGCCGGCACCATGCACCTCTCGCAGCTGCTGGCCTGCGCCCTGCTGCTCACGCTACTCTCGCTCCGGCCTTCCGAAGCCAAGCCCGGGGCGCCGCCGAAGGTGGGTGCTGTTGCATGGACATCGGGACTGTGAGGGGCCGTGGGAGGGTTGGCGGCCTAGGAGGCTGCAGCGCGCGACAGGGAGCAGAGGGCGCGAAGGCGGCCCTCTCCTCCGAGACGTGCACGGGTGCGAGCCGGGGAGCCCTCGAAACCGCCTCGGGGGGTCTGCATCCCCAGCCTCAGGAGAACGTCGACAGATGCGCAGCCCCTGCCCCAGTGTGGCCAGCCCCGCAGGGCGCAAAGGACGGGAGGGCAAGGGCTCCCCGAAGGAGCCGACAAGGCGGCTGCGTGGCAGGTGGATGCAGGGCCGAGCCGTCCCGCGTCTGTGGGGGCGCGCTCGGGTCTCCGAAGGGACAAATCGCGCTGGCGGGCGCGACGGGCCAGAGCAGCAGGGGTCCCGCCAAGTACCTGGCGCTGCCGCCGGGCGTCCCTTCACCTGCCGGTCCTTTCCCTCGGACAGGTCCCGCGAACTCCGCCCGGGGAGGAGCTGGCCGAGCCCCAGGCTGCGGGGGGCGGTCAGAAGAAGGGCGACAAAACTCCCGGGGGCGGCGGCGCCAACCTCAAGGGCGACCGGTCGCGACTGCTCCGGGACCTGCGCGTGGACACCAAGCCGCGGGCCGCGTGGGTGCGCCTCCTGCATGAGCACCCCAACGCGCGCAAATACAAAGGAGGCAACAAGAAGGGTTTGTCCAAGGGCTGCTTCGGCCTCAAGCTGGACCGGATCGGCTCCATGAGCGGCTTGGGATGTTAGTGCGGCGACCCCTGGCGGCGGTGAGTACCACCAACCCGGCCCGGAGCCTGTGCGCACCTAGCTCCCCCGCGGCGCCGCCACAACCCCGCCTGGACCCCCGCCCGCAGGCCGGGCCTCCCGGTCCCCCGCGGCGCCCTTTGGAGGAGAGCCAGGCCATCCCGGCACGAGCCAGTGTGCGCGCGAGAGCCATTTGCCCCCAACCCCGATTATCGTCCCATTTTACAGATGAAAAAAGTGAGGGATAAAGCGGTTAAGGAACTTGGGCGAGGTCAGAAACGGCTCCACCCGGATGAGCCACCTAACCTCCTCTAGAGAAGCCGACAGCTTGCATGGACACCGGGACTGTGAGGGGCCGTGGGAGGAGTGGGGTCCTGCTCACACCCGGACCCTGAGCAAACCAGCAGAACTGGTCCCAGTTGACCATTTGAGGGTATTGAGGGGAGACCGTGGGTTTGTGGGAGCATACGCACAAGCGGAGGGTAAGTTTACCTGCCAGCCCTGGATCGTGGTGCCCAGGCAGTAGGCAGCCCAGAGGTCAGGGCTCTTTCCCGGGACTAACTTGGACATACTTGGAAAAACACCTGCCCCTTTGCAATAGAATAGCCCTCTGTTGGCATCACCAGGATGCCCTTCTGCCCCAAAGCTTTCTAATTCTTACCCCTTCTCTAACCTGCCGCTATGAGCAAACTGGTCTGTCCAGGGTCCTGATGCTGCTTGCTGCCTGCTGACTTCAGGATAGAACCCCGGTGTCTGTGGCACTATTTCAGGGCAGGGAAAAAGACTAAAATAAATCTTTTTTTTTTTTTTTTTTTTTTTGGACCTGGACCTCAGCATGTCCCAAATTGAGCTCCTCCCCAGCTTCCCACCTCCATCATGCCTGGGCCCCTCCACTAGGGCTGGAAACCCCTGTGCTACCTTCAGCCCCTGCCAGCATCCTGGCTGTGTGGCAAAGATGGTCCCCACCTCCACCCTCCTGTCCATTCCTGCTGCCCTTCAGTTCCCATGGAAAAACAGAGCCCACCTCTGAAGTTCACATTTAAGAACTGACTCTGGCTTTCAACCTTTCCCTGAAGCCTGGCTGCTGCCATCCTTGGTCCCACAGCCTGTCTATCCCACTCCAAAACCACGGGCAAGCCGTTCTCTTGCCCAAGAAGCCCTGTCAGTGTCCACACTGTCTTCCCCCAGAGGGCAATGAGTGTGCCCCTCTTTGGAGCTCTCCAGGACATGGCCTCAGCACAGAACACTTTTCATCTGAACCATTGTTGTTTGGGAACCTATTTACCTCCTCCAAATTATCTCATGAGCAGCTTGAGGGCCAGGTGCCTGCCTAAGGTGATCTGGGACCGACAGCACTCCCACAAGAGGCTTTTAAAAATGTTTGTCGATGACCAGAGAAACATGCCCCACCCAGCTCAGGGGCACTCCTCTCCCACCTGCCCTGGGTTTTTCCTCCGTGCAGCCAGACTTGACTGGGCTGTGTGCTCCTCCCCATTTCTGCAGGAGTTTCGTTTGTCTGAGATCTTGACTCACCCCTGCACAGGAAGAGATGATTCTGGGACAGGGGGCCTGGCCTTTAGTAGCTTCCATGGTAATGGCTTGGCTCTCTTCTGTCCTATGGAAATAATGGAGAGATGGAGTCACATTTTCAGTTCACATTGTGATTTAAACACCAACCGCCGACTTTAGAATCTAAATAAATGTTATTCAATGGGTTAGCAGGAGGCAAGACAAGGAAGGGGGTCTTCACAGTGCCTGGCATGCACGTCCCCATAGTCTCCTTGTTCTTGGGTATGGCCATCTGTGGGTACCAGGTGATGGCCCAGCGAGTGGGGAGGTGGTAGGCAGGAGGCCAGATTGCTAAGACATCTCAGCCCCTTTGACTAGGAGTTGACTTCACTCAGGAGTTGACTTTGGCTCTTAGCAGTCACCATAATGACTGTCGCTGATGGTTACAGTCTTGGTTATAAAATTCTAATGATAGAGACGAGGTGTGGCCAATGCCTGAATGAACACCTTGCCCCTGAGCCCCAGGGACATCACAGACATCTATCATCTGTTTAAACACATGGGACAGCCAGACATGGGAGTTCATCAAGGCCTGGGGTCCTTCTGCGTGTGCTGTCCTCTGGGAGAGCACCACACCATCCGAGGAGGACTCCTCTCTCAGGCCCCAGGGCACCCACACCCCATTAGCAGAGAGCTAGTAGAGCCCTCATCAAAGGACTCTTGACTCTCAACCCAGCCCAGCATGACCATTCAGTGCCCCAGGGCTGGCGTGGGACCCTGCTTCCCCTGCGTCTGAAGAGGACCCTTCCTGAGGCAAAGCGAGCTGGAGAAGGAAGTGCTATTTAATGAGGGGCATCAGTGACCCAGACACCTTGCCGCTGCCCAGTGTGTGGCCCCCTCTTGAATCTTCCAGCCGGCCCCAGGAGGTGGCTATTATCCCATTTTATGGGTGAGGAAAGAGATACTCAAAGCTATCCAGGGCTGTCCAGGAAGTTAATGTCAGAGTTGGGATTTGAGCCCAGAATTCCCAGCTCCTCGGATGTTTGCCTTCCCCTCCCCTCTGCTGAGGCCAACACCTCACTGAGGGTTTGGGCATTTCCACTCTCTTTTCCTCACCAAGTGCCAAGGGCAATGTCTGCAGGGAGACTGAGGGGGAGGAGGGCTGGCAGGCAGTCTGATTCCACCTGTGCTGGGGCAGAAGGTGCCAAGGACACAGCAGGCAACGAGGTGAGGGCCAGAGAAGCAGCCCCCTCCCACCCCCGGACGGCTTTGTCAGGCCCAGTAGGCCAAGGTGGGCCTGGGCCACGCTTCATGCTGCTGTGGAAAAGGGGCTGTCCTGTGGGCTGGGCTTTCTCAGCTAAGGGGCCAGAACTGAGTGTCCCATGTCCCCTCTGTGTTGCAGGATCGGGAACTTGCTCCGTTTTGCTGAGGTCATTCTTGGTCATCAGCCTCACAGCATCTGGAAGCACCTCCAACGCAATGTGGCTTTTACATTTCTTTTTTTTTTCCTGGTACTGGGAATACACAACACCAGCTGTTTTATTATTATTTGGGAAGGGGGATATGATTTTCTTGTTTGGGTTTTTTTTTGAAAATGAAAAAATAAAAAGTTATATATTATATATATATTATATACATGCAACACACACCTACACGAACGTGATGACAAGGGACAGTTTTTAAGAGACTGACAAGACCAGCTGTAAAACATTGCTGTTTGTAAATTCATGTCATGCATAAATGTATTTATGTTGTAAAGCTATTTATATTGTTTATAAAGAGATATTTATAAAAATTTTATTTATGTAACTAAATGAAAGAAGTCAATCATTGTAATGTTTTTGTCTTAACTAGTGGAAAAATGTAAAAAAAAGTCATTCCATGAACATCTTGAAAACTGTCTTTATTTACTTATTGCATTTATTTTTTAGATGTGTCTGAGGAAGAGGGAGAATGTGAAGACAAGGGTTTTGCCTCTAAGTAGATCTAACAGCCAGGATTTGTTTGTATCAGAATCCCCTGGGGATCTTGGGGCACCTGGGTGGTTCAGTCGATTAAGCAACTGCCTTTGGCTCATCCTAGGGTCCTGGGATCAAGCCCCAAGTCAGGCTCCCTTCTCAGCGGGGAGTCTGCTTCTCCCTCTGCCTCTGCTCTTACTCTCTTCCCTCTCTCAAATCAATAAATAAATAAATAAAATCTTTGGGGGAAAAATAAAAGATCCTGGGGATCTTGCTAAAAATACAGTCTCCTGGCGCCACCAACATCCTGATCGACTGAATCTGAGTCTTCCAGATAGGATAAGACTCACCATATGCATTTTATCTCCAGTGAATCAGACCAGTTTGGCCAAATTGAGAAACTCTGCTTCGGGCACTTCACAGCTGGGAAGTCAGATGCCGTGAATTAAATTAAAATTGAATTTAGCTGACTGAGGGTCTTCTAATTCTACTCCATCTTCTCTCTGTTGTTAGAGGACAGAAAGCACTGGAAGCTTCCCTTCTGTTTGGTGGGGGGTGGGATTTAGGTTTCTGTGTAGCCTGCAGAGTTGGTCAGGTTGCCTTGTGAACCTTAGTACACAAATGCAAACAGTGGGTAGTTTTAACTCAGAGTGAATGTCACGGTCAACAAGGACCGGAGGCCAAGGACCTCAGAAAGAACGAGAAGGTATTAGCTTTCATGTTGGCCACGTGCTGTGCTTTGCCAGGGGTTGTGCTGTTTCTTTTCACTTGAAGCTACTAACAATTATGATTCTAATGCCCCGTGGAGCCTGAATGTGAAATTATGAATATTTAGAATCTCTTTTCCTGAAAACTGCAAGAAAATAAAATAACTCCGAAATAATCTCACCATCCTTGGCATGGCAGCAGCTTCCGTCTGTCTTCTGTCCCCTTGGTGAAAGCGTGGCCCCGAGGTCACAGGTCAGCAGGCCGGGCTGAGCGGTTCCCAAGGAACACCGGGAGGTGCGGGAGGTGACCACGGCACCCGGCCTTTCTGCGGGCATCTGAGCTCCGTGGCCTTTCTTCCCTCCAGCTGCAGGTTTTCAGGTCAACCCAGGGACCTCGCCCAGGTGAGAAAGCTGCTTTAAAAAAAAAAAAGATTTTATTCATTTATTCATGAGAGATGCAGAGAGAGGCAGAGACATAAGTAGAGGGAGAAGCAGGCTCCCTCTGGGAAGCCTGATGAGGACTCAATCCCAGATCCCCAGGATCTCCCAGGTGCCCCAAGAAAACTGTTTTTAAGACAGGTTCCAGCTGGGGAAGGTTAGGGCCCTTCCCACCCTGCTCAGGGGACGGCTAGGCACCCTTCTTTGGGCATGATCATCTTCCTCGACCTCACCGCATCTCCGTGGCTCAGAACTCAGGTGCCTGTGTCAATGCAGGTGAGGGGTCCCAGCGCTCGGGCTTCTCCAGTGCCTCGGCTCCCTGTGCTGTCTGCGGACCCCCCACAGGGGGACACTGAGGGGGTTGCAAAAGCAGGGGGAAGAGAAAGGCAGGGGGTTCACAGTGGGCTTTGCTGGTGGCAAGGCAGGCACATCTCCCCTAAGCCCCAAGACACAAGGATGAAGAATTCTGGGATTCAGGGAGTCCCCGAGCTACAGGCTTTCCCTGCCGGGCTTCTCTGGAGGGCCGGTAAGCCTCCAGCCCACAGGCCGAGCTACCCCGCCAAGCAGCTCTCACCGCATGAATTAGCCCGCGAAGAACACGCACGATTCTGTTGTCAACTCCAGTCCCCACCGGGTGGAAGCCAGTCTCTCAGCCTGCGGACTTAGGATGTTTCTATCCACCTGAAGCCCTGTGACTGCTTCCCCAGTAGGAATTTCTGCTGAAAAGCCAAGACGGATTAGACAAATATTCCATAAATAACAGTTTTGAAATCTCCAGGGGTTCCCCAGGTGGTATTCTTAAGAGCTTCCAATCCTCCCATCTGTGTCTTGGTCTCCCCCCTCTCCACAAGCACCTCGCCTCCAAAGCTGCCTGGGGAACCTGCAGCTTCTGTCCCATTCGGGGTGACCACAACAGCCAGGACCACCTGGCAGGAGGGCCCCAGAGAGATCCCATCCCTGCACCTACCATGAAGGTGATGGAAGCAGGCAGGGCCTCGGCCAGGCACATGGTTCCCGGAGTCTACCCCCCCAACACACACACACCCAAGCCGTGGGATGTCCTTCCATGACAGCCACAACCCCAGAGGAGTGATTCAAAATGGGCTGCACAGGATCCAGGGGCCCCCAGGGGTGATCAGAGAGGCAACAATGTCTGGACAGGCTCAGAGCCTGATAAGGGGCAGACAGAGGAGCTCTCCCTCTCAGGGACCATGTGAGGGGGAGGGAGCCACAGTCGGGCCCATCACAAATGGAATTTGACCCAGACGGTTGCATGAAGAGGCTTCACTGAAGGGACTGCTTACAGAGGTGTGGGCAGCTGCCACCAAGGAGCTGAGGGAAGCCAGTTTCTCCCCAGCGATGAAGGGAGGACACTGTCTCCGAGTTGGAGCTGGGTGGAGGGTTCGTCCCACGGGAGCTGTGCCATGGTGCAGGACATGCCACCAAAACATAAGTGATGAGGGAGGAATACCCCAACTTCTCTCTCTCCTCCTTCTCCCATCTCTGCTGGTGCCTCACGGGCCACAGGCTGAGGCTGGAGGTGTTTCTCTCTCTGGCACCTTATAAAGGTGAGTACTTCCTGATTCCGGCATCCCAGTGTCCATCAGCCACTCTTGGGGGGCTGCAAGCTTGGGTCCTCATCTACACCTCCCTGTAGATGTGGCCCTCTCCAAAAATAGCTCTGAAGCCAGGGCCTATTTGCCAACAAAGTATATTCAGATTTTCGAGGGGCAGAAGTTTATCTCTTTCATTCACGGTTTTCCCTTTTTCATGGTCCCAGGACACAGGCTCTTCGTGAATTCCACTATTTTGCTATCTTCTGATCTGCATATTTTTGCTCATATATATTTTTAACTTAATAATTTATTTATATTGGTTTCCTTAACAATTCTCTGTACCTTTCCCAAATCTTGTTGTTGAACATTTATTTCTGAGTGTGGCTGTATTCATATGTCCAAATTTTGATATATGGTGTTCTGACTTTTATTGTCTCAATGGTCTGTTGACTTGATTTTTTTTCCTGATAATTTCAAGTGGGATTTAATTTATATTAGCTTTAATTTTACTGAGGTTAAACTCAGTGCTTATACACTTTCTGCTTTATTACATTTTTCATTCTTGTCCTCAGCTTTTTTCCCCAGATTTTATTTATTCATAAGAGATACACAGAGGCAGAGACATAGGCAGAGGGAAAAGCAGGCTCCTCACAGGGAGCCCGATATGGGACTGATCCCGGGACCCCAGGATCACACCCTGAAGACGAAAGCAGGTGCTTGACCACTGAGCCACCGAGGCATCCCCTATAATCAGTTTTGTAACAGTTCATGGATAGGATACTTTAAAAGTAAGATCAATACGTTTTCACCGTTCAAACTTCTGTAAGCATTTAATCCATTTTGTTTCTTATGTTACTATGTTCAAATCTTCGTGTCCTCTATTGATTTACTGAAGACTAATTAATCATGATGTTGGAAAAATGCACTGTAATTGGGGCTCTATTTATCTTTATATTTTAACAGTTATATGGTTTTTATTTATTTAGCACATAAAGATTCAGTATTAGTATATATATTAGGATATGTGAGGTTAGGCTGTGGTAACAAAAACCTCCAAATTTCAGTGGGTTAAAATAAAGATTTGTTTCTTGCTTGTACAGAGTCTACTGTGGGTCTGGGCAGCCCTCCAGGACAGCTCCTTACCAAACGAAGGCTGAGGCTGAGCGTTGCACCTCCAAATCAGAGTAGGTCTCCACCATGTGGAGAGGGGTGCAGAAGCAGTATGTTGGGAGGTCACATGTCCAGTGCTTCTACCAGGAGGTGATGCACTCACATTTAATTGGCCAAAGCAAGTCATGCAGCCACACCTTACTTTGAAGATCCTCCCTGGTGCCTGGAAATGGAGGAGACCTACCCTCCCGGAAACAGAAGTGTACTTGGACTCATATGCAGGAGGTTGCCACTTAAGGACTTCCTACATTGTGTGCCCTGTACTTCCTAGTAAATTCTATTTTATCTGATATGATCATTACACCAGTCCTACTTTATTTTTATTTGTGCTTGATATCTTTGTCCAAGCTTTGATTCTTCCCCTTGTTGTGTATTTTTTATTTATTTATTTATTTATTTATTTATTTATTTATTTATTTATGCTTCTCAAGTTTTAGATTAAAATATATGTAATTGGAGACACACACTAGATTGTTCACATTTGCTGTCATTATTGCTTATCCTTGAGCCAACTTCTTCATCTGAAATTTACTTTGTGTTTTTAAGGCTCTTTAATTTTTCTTTTTTGTTGTTCCTTTACGTTTAATTTTTTTCCCTCTAGACTGTTAGGCTTGCTTTTATCTTCTGCAATGATTTGGAAAGTAGACATCCTGTTTTTAATTCTTTTAGTGGTTCCACTTATTTTTTTCATGGAAATTATTAAACCCACATTTATATTATTATCAAAATCAAAATCATAAACAATCACTTCAGACTCCTTCACAAGAGAGACAAAGAACTCAGCCCATTTGTTTTTTCCCTGGTCTCCTCTGTCCTTTCTGGGTCTCCATTTACATAAGTTAAGGGCACTCTCCTTAACTGGATCATTATAACCAGCAAAACAGTCTCCAAAATTCCTTCAGCTTTCTATTTGTTGCTCCATTGCAATAAGATATTTAGACCTTTGACCTTAATGCTCTTCCCCAGATGGGGTCCCATTGCACACTACTTCTTTCCCTGGGTGGGCCTCTCTGTCCACTGCCTGTCCATCTCCACCGCAGCAGTAGGAGGGGGGGGC